CATCACATTTGAAAACCGTGAAAACATTTTTCAAGCAGTCCTTTTCACTGATAGTTAGGATGAATTAAACTGCCACCTCAGCGCCCTTGTAGAAGCTGAAGTGACATGATATTCTACAAGAAGAAGAGCCTGCTTTGCTTTTTTCCTTCTATTGCTGAAGGTAACTCCTCCTCCTCCAAGGAGGTAGGCTGGAGGAAAAACAGAACTGAAGAAGGTGTGCCACAGGAACAGGACAGAGCTCTTCCCTGCCATCCATTTAAACTCAGTTTAATGGTGAAGGTACCTCACCAGGAGTGAACTTGCAGTTTGGGCCTGGAAAGGACAGTAATTTTTCATCCCACTGCACAGTCTGATCGAAACCTGTACGGAAACCAGAACGTTAATTCCCAAACTGGGATCTGAAGACCACGATGGGCAGCAGCTGATCCGTGGGAATGACCATAAAAATACTTCAGGAGGGTGATGAATAATTGTTAACTGATCATGTTTCTTGACCCAATGAATGTGAGAACTAATGACTTACACTATTTAGTTACACAATGCAAGAGCAGTTGAGCTAGGAAGGCACAAGATCAAAGTCTCAGTGGGTAGTGAGGCAAATAGCAACAGAGCCATTAACACCCCAGTAACTGAAAAACAGGCGGACTGCTACGTTTTATCCACAGGTAAGTAACAGAAAACATTAAATTGGCAGTTTCTTGCTCACTACAGAAGAACAGCCCGAAATTTCAAGCCTTCTCTTTACCCTTTTCTTCCTAGGTGGCAGCAGCCAGTCTTTCTTCCTTCTCAAAACAAACACCCTTAAGTTTGCCCATACTAAGCTTTTTCTGCTGTGCCTATTTTCAGTAGATTCTGTGTTACCAAATCCAGGTATTCTTCAAAAGCCATGCCTGTCCTTTACAGAGATAGATGTCTTCTCTGCACTTTGCACTGGAAAGCACCCAGTGAAAGCAGCTCACAGCTTTGTTGCTACTGGCCCACTTCCTTCTAAAATGATTAAAATGTCTGTAAGAAATAAACCTGAATTGCTGATGGAGCAGGAAGACAAACTCCCTGTGAAGACTGCTCCTCTGGTAGAGCACCAAAATTTTTGTATTTCTAGAGCTACTAAGACGGAAAATACAAAAACATTTTCTTTTTTTTTTTTTTATTTTTAAAAAAACCACAATGTTGATAGGAGGTTTTAGTAAGTAATTTTTAGGCTTGCAAAAGCTGAAGAAGGATTCAAGAGTCTGGCTAGCTAAAAGCTATTTTGAGTTTCCCCGGCCATTCTATCCCTAACAAACACTGGCTTATTTCTGTTTTCTCTACACTTGACATTGATATGAGATACCTGTTTATTCATGCAGGTAAGCAGTACATTTCATTTCTTTGTATTTACATAGATAAATGTTTATATAAAAATCAATTTTCCACCTCAAACACACTTAAAGGTTTTAGCACTTTTATACTAAAAGCAGAAGTGGGGTGAAAAGAGGTTTACAAATTAATTCCATAACAAAATACTAAAAACCTATGTAAAGCTTTGTTGCAAGCTAAGAAACATGTACAAGAAATTCTTAAATGAATTATCCTTGGCATACATTCATATTTGAATGCACAGATATATTTACATGTTTAATATCCAAATTCATAATGACTTCTAGGATGTTCCATGAAATGTCATCTTTCTGTAGAACTTTGCCAGGTAGCTGAAGCACATTAGTAAGACACATATTGTAAAATTGCATGAAAATTGGAAACAATTAGAATGAAAGCCAACAGAACTGGTCAGACTATTCCTTCCAGACAGAACCAGTTATTATTCCAGACTTAGTCCTTTAACTGTTTTGAGTTGCACAGTTTTCCATGTTTCCACAGATCCTTGAAACCTTCCTGCGGCTTTCAAAAGCCACAGCAAAGCGCACAAATGCTTTCAGTTGAGGATGCAATCATAGGTCCTCATCCCGACAGCAATCTTTCACAAGTCCAAGAGCATTCTTCACACATATTTACACTGTTCAATGGATGCTTGTGGAGTGAGGCTGGGTTGTTCTAGTCAGTCTTGCTATTATGTACTTTCGAATTGTAGTACTGTTTCTGTCTTTTAAGTGTGTATAATAAGCCTTCAAATTCAAAATATCACGTTATTTTCTGTTAAGTTTTTGGTTATAGAAGTCTGAAGATATTAATCCCCACTCCCCAATACTTCATCCACAACTGCCCAGACAACTGCCAAACATCAATCTCACCAGATGTACAAAATCCAACTATGGTTCTGATTTGTAAATCAGGCTTTTCCACATCTGACCAGCTCAGTACTTGCTAAGCAGGAAGAGCCAGAAAGGATGAAGGGTCTGTGCGCACTAGTTTGGGTGTTCTGAATCTGTACCAGACAGATGCAACAAAAAAAAAGCAAAAACAGAACTCTGAATTTTTGTCTCTTGGATGGCCAAGAACAAGTATCTGGTGGCTGACCCAGGCTGCTACACAGATTGTATCAGCAGCACGCACACCCAGATCCATTATCCACACATAGTGAGCTATTTGCTTTCAGGTGCCCACACCATATACCAAGTTGTTTGGTTGGTACACTCACTTCATATAGGATGTTAAGAAAATGTTTGCACTGCCTGAAAGCAATGGTTTAACAAAACATTAATTGCTTATTTTTTTTGGAGAGGTAAGGAAAAGTTAAACATACTGAATGCACTTGAGACACACCCATTTGTCACCGGAGTACAGGAAAGAATGTAAAGGCACAACATACTTTTACACTCCTGTCATTAAGGCCATATATTGGTGTGCAACAATGCTTCACAGGGCTAACCATACAGAAGTACTCAGGTCTAAGTCACACTCCCAGAGGTGTTTCAGACAAGAACTGTTTTCTCATGCAACTTCAGACTCTGCTTTTTTATTATGCTTTTTTTGTTTCCTTTTTTTTTTTTCAGGCAGAATGCAGGCTCTCTATCCAGTTTCAATGGTCTGTTCTTCATCACGTTTTCTTTAATTTAATTCTCCAGAAGTGTGCGCTGAACTAAAAAGTGAAAAAAACTCGAGATTAGTATACTAAGTTAGTGTACGTTTTAAGTTATGTATTACTATGCAACAGTCTATGTGGACAACAGACTTTTTCAGTAGACATTTGAAACTGTGGGATAAATTCAGGTAAGCAGAGGCTTGATTCTGTGTAGCCAGTACCCTGCATACCAAGGGATATTACGTCCCAGATTTCCCACTCAAATAGCCACATCCTACCAGATCCGTGTAGCTATCTACACTTGCAGTATAACCCAACATGCGGTTTCAGACTTGCAGTTTTGTGGATTCAAAAATGAAATGGAGTACAGTCTGCGAAGCTGATGGAAAAAGTGGATTTTTGAAAGAAAGTGCTAGCCTAGGTTATCTACATTTTCAGGAAGTCAAAGATAAGTCTGCATAAAATTTTAAAAATGCAAACCTGTTCTGCCATGCCATCTGACCTGGCTTAACGCAAGACTGCTTCTAACTAGAAGCCATATAGGTACACCAACACTATATTACCAAAAGCAGAGCTAATGTCTGCTGACTCCCAGAACTTAGATCAGGAGTAGCACCATGCTGACCATGGTTGCCTGGTTCCTGGGCTCAAAACATGTTCATACTTGCCTGCAAAATACAACAGAGGTATGAAATTTGGGATTTAACATGACATCAATATGTAGGCAGGAGTAATCATTTACGATAACATCCCAGGTTTGACTTTATTGGTTAAAATAAAGTATGCATCATCTGATGCATTTCACACCTGAGTTCTGGTGAATCTTGGCCAAAATTTTACCATATCCTGACTCCAACTCATATGTTAATTGCCTTTGGAAAAGGTCTTTGAACAATACTGCTTGCTTCACTAATGCATAGCTGAATTGAGGATATCTGCCTATTTCCAGTCCTGACTTCAACAGCCAGTCACAAGAAAATGTTTTCTCCTTGAGAGTTTTATATTTAACATCTTAAAGGAAAAATGTTTATGAAGAGGATCATGAGCCAGATGGAAGTTTTTAGCAAACTGATGAAATACCTGAAAGAAATAAGGTATAAAAATTTTTTTGTTAAATTATAAAAAAACAGAACTAGTTCTGCGGGTTTTAGTTTAAGCTCACAGAAGAATATATTGCAAATTTATACTGCTTTGAGATTTTAATATTCAGTGTTTCAAAGACAGTCAACAAACTTCAGCATGAGGGTGTACTGCTTCTTCCTTTGCTGACTGGTCACAAGGGCTAGAAGGCCAAGTCTTCACCTATACTGTTTCATCCAGATCTATCTATGGCTTTCCTGGAAATAATCACCTGTTCATTCAGCAAGTACCCTAGACAACCATACCTGGAAGGGTAAGGTTGTTAGAGTTTTTGTTGCTTTAAAAGAGATCCTTCCACAGCTGTCACCATTGTAGAAAGATTTGTTATTTGATGATTCTTTCATACAAGAATCATTCTCTGTTCACAACAGAGAACTAGTAAGTTCAGTCCTCCTTGCCTCCAGTGTAGTTTCATCTCTGCCCAAACACTATTAATGTTTTTTAATATGCATTCTTGCAGAGTTCTATATGGGTTTACAGTCAAAAAAGGTATCAGATTCCAATCAGAGATATGCTAATATACATACACAACATACACTAATAAAACACCCATCAGCTAACTGCAGTTATGTATCACACTAAAGGAGCAGGGTTGTGTTTTCGTAATTGTCTTTAACAATACTTTTGCAGAGAAAATTCAATTCTTTACTTTCTCTAAGCTCCTGTACTTCAAGGACTCTTCAAGGCAATAAACCAATCTGTTCAGAGAACAAAAAACTAGAGAAGAGTGGCCATATTATCAGAACTGAAATCTTGACTCAGTTCTAAGTTAGTTGTCATGGTAGTTACACATATTTTTTTTGAAACAAAACAAAACAATGCAAGTAATTTTGTCCACTATGTTATATGTCAGTAAAGTGCATTTAATAGGATCCCCACCAAAAAGTTGATCTTCCATCTAGATTCTTCTCTTACCAGGTGGCTCAGATTGCGCTCCCCGATGGCTTTCCATATTCACATTCTCTTCATCTGCTGGGAAATAAAGACGTTTAGCATTCAAATTCTCTTATCTTCAAAGTTGTTGATTAATAGAGACAATTTAAGAGAAGAAACAGCACTGAAGAAACTGGGCTATTGATAGTAGTTGAGTTTCCCTTGTGTTGCCTGCGTGTTAATTTTAACGTGCATGGTAGATGTTACTCAGTTTCCAAACTTCCCAAATTACAAAACAGCAGTGCCTGGCTGGATGGCTGCTCTATCATCTCCCTTCACCAACAGTCAGAAAGACTAGAAAGTAAAAAAACAAAGCTCCTGCCCCACCTATCACCCACAGTACTCCCCAAGTTCTCTGATCCAAGTTACATCTTATTTAGGTGGAAAGGAAGTAGATAGCAAGCAACAGATGACTGCAGAAGAAAGAATCATTTGAGAATGAACATCCGGGTAGTTGTCAGAAACCTAATATGTAGGCAAGCATCTTGTGAAGACACAAAGGCAAGATTTACAAAATTAGAAATGACAAGGTATTTTCCAGCATGAAAATAGTCTCTAATCCCCTCTAAAACCTTCACTCAGTTTTCCTTAAATAAATGTTTTCTTGCAGTCTCTCCTGCTTACTCTTTAGCAGGAAGTGCTTTTATTTTAAGAATCGCAAAGCCTTAAGTCTGTCTGCTTCTGAAAGTCTAAATTTTGGGCGAGGCATTCTTCAGACACCCTGTCTTAGATGACTAGTAAGAGAGATTAACCCCTGTGAACACAAATTCACTGTGCTATTAAAACTACTTAATGCATAAGATCAATTTCTAGCCCCTATATAAACACAAAACCACATCTCTTTAGACAGTAGAAAACAAAACCAATTTAGAATTCTTACCGCTTTGTTTGAAACAGAGTTTCTTCTTCTGGTAAGCAATGAAACTAGATACTGCTCCAATTACAGTAGCAACCACCGCACTTACAATTCCAGCTATTGCTCCCTGAGAAGCTGAAAAAAGAGGTTTGTATACATTTTTCAGAATCGAAAGCAATGTCAAACTTGTATTGTCTCAAAGTAAACCCTGTGAACACTTCCAAAAAACAATAAACTGAAATTATTACATGAAACTGTAGTAATCAACTCTTTGTCTTTGTGAAAAATAAAAAGTGAACCCTCTAATTTTAGAACCATTGATTTCTTAGCAATGCCTATTGTTAAATAACTTAAGCACGCCTGTTGTAAGTTTCACTAATTAAAAAAAGCTACCCTTTCATAGCCAAATCTAATTTGTATGCATGCAATCACTGCACCAGCATCTCTGAGACCTTAACACTTTTGAGTTAAAGAATTATGAAAGCAGAACTCAAAAGTAAGAATTCTAGATTCCACAGATGTTTTTAAGCTGAAACCCACTAGCAGCATGACCATTCTAGCCGAATATTAGCAATACAGAAAAACCCAGAAAACAAGCTTCAGATATGCAGACACCATTACACACATAAATTTATGCATTTACCCTCAGCGTCTTGACCATTATTTGGACTTGGGCCCTTTCGTTCTGTAAAAATGAACAAAAGTTTTAGATTTTACATGTCTAAAGAACAGTCATATCATAATTGACAACCTTTTTGTCAATTAATCATGGAACATTACAAGCCGTCTATTATATCCATACAGTGCTAAGCTCTCTGGCACTCAAACTTCCTATTTCCAAAGCACAGCTCATGGTGATGCCAACTTCAGCCTTGGGTACTCAGCAACTCTACAAAATGAGTGCAGCACACCTGTGAAATCTGATTTAATCAACTTGCCCACCACCACAGAATACTCAATGGAGAGGAACAGCATGTAATTTCAGGGTAGCATTCAACTGTATTTCCATGGAACCAACTATCTTTTCCTAAAATCCCAGCTAATATTACTAAATATTTTTGCAATTCTCTTAGCAAACGAGACAGAAGTTCTGTAAATACTATCCTTATTTGGCACTATGCAACTTGCACCACTGAAGCAGGAACCTGTGCAGATGAAAACACTACACAAGTCTCAACAGATGCTTCTCGCCCCTGCCAATTTTCAGGTTACTGCCCCAAAGGAACCTTGGAAGGGGAAAGCTTCCCAAAAAATTAGCCTTAATAATCTCTATCTGGGACAACTCTCTGATGAAGTCAGTAACCAGCAGCATGTCTCAACATCACATTAAGATACTTAACCTAACTCTGACCTGGAAATAGTAAAGTTGCAGTAATGCACACAGGAGGGACTAACCTCATCCTAATGATGACCATTACTGCGGCTTGGTCCCAATAACCACCTCTGTACTGAGCTGCGCCGTAACAATTAGACATGGCAGATTACTCAAAACAAGTTTGGTTTTTATACTGCTCAGAGTAGATATAACCTACATTACTTGGAAGTCTAAGGATCAATTCATCCTGTGGGACAGATGCAATCTTTGAGAACACAAAGTGGACCCTCTTCTGGCGCATCCCTGGGCTTCCTACCCACAAGAACTAAAAGAAACTGAGAGTATGTCACAGAAGATCCAAAAGTAACAGCTGGATGCCTTTAAGAACTATATTCGTGGTGAATTTTGAAATAAGTACCACATTCACATCTCAGTTTTAAAACCCATCTTTCTTAGCACAACAGTGTAAATCACTGAAGGTTCCTAGACCAGTTTTACCTCTTAATTATCTGGGGTTTTTTGGCAGAGACAGAACACATTGCTTTTGAACTGGAAGGTATGCTCTTAAGTTTTAGATACGAGAACCAAAGGTGTTACAAGTTAGACCATGTTAACCAGCTTGTGAGCAAACTTTTACCAAAAGCTCAGATAGCCATAGGATCAATATGAAGCTATCTTACCATTGTTGCCACTACCATCGCCGCCTCCTTTTGGTAAACTGCCATCATATAGATCTGAATCATCAAGGTTGCCTATAAAAAAATAAAAATAGTATTATCTTACATGTTTTAAGTTCAGTGAGGCACATACTGACATGGAAGTTTTCTCTAGATCGTTCATCTGAGTTCGTGGCTGTTTTAGGCTCAGCATCATAGTCACAACATGTTCATGTTTCCAAAGTCCTCCCAATTTCAAGTCCCTTCAACTCGGCACTATACAGTTTGATAGCAGCACAGCTGCCTCTGGACTTCCTGAACAACTGAGAGAAGTCAGTGTCCAAAAGCAGGTAGTACTGCACAAGTCATAGGCTAATCAAGCAAGAAGCCCTGTAAGCTACTTAAGTGGAACAGCCCAAGTCTCACTATCCTGTTAAAGCAGAGAAAGGACATGGACAGGAAAGGACCATTTCTTTTCAAGGGTGCAGCTGTAAATGTTTCTTCAGAGTTGGGTTTCTAAGTCACAACCAATCTTTTGAACCTGTAAACACAGCAGCTAGAGGGAAAAAAAAAAAAAAAAAAAAAAAAAGAGTTCAACATGCCACAGTCCAGTGGCTGCAGTATTTGCCTGACAATGGAAAGATCCAAACGTAATTCCCTCCTCTGATTTATTGCAGGACATTGAACCAGTCCCTCTCCATTTCCACTGGACCCTACCTCATAGGGCCTGAGTTCTCCTCCTTCCCTCTGCTGCCAAATGAATCTTTAGTTTATGCAAAGCAAATCTGCTTCAAGCAGCAAAACTAAACGCATTGCATCAGAGGATGTTTTAGTTGGGTGGCAAAAGTGCTGTGCTGAGGCATGCAAGACCTAAATTCAAATATCTGCTGCAAATCAGGCAGGAGAAGGAACAAGAACCAGGGCTTGCATTTCAGGTAAGGACTCTACCACCATATTCCTGGATAATGGCATCATCACAGCTGCATCCATCTGAATCTGTTTTGTTCTGAGTTAGGCAAAGATGGAGAAGACCTCTAAAGCACAACAGGCAGGGAAGGACATGTATTTTAAGCCTACCTTTCAAACGCAAATGAATTGTATTTCTTAACTGGGGCCTTTAAAAGAAAAACTTAAAAAAAAAAAAAACCTTTAACTTTGAGCTTTGCCTTTAATTTAGAGGCTTATTTAGAATATAGTTCACAGGTAGTTCCTACTGGCTTTTTAGCACGACTAGCAGGGATTCAGTTTGCAAAGATGAAAGGACTCAATCCAATACACAGGTGCTCCACATGGGCAGCCAAGAACAACATTGCCCCAAGCACACCACTCTGTCCCATCCTTCCTCCTCCCCACACCATCCCGCTTTTAAGTGAAAGGAAAGTGACTCAACAGGTTTGTTATGGAATTTCAAGACTGCTGCAAAGCTTATTTGCAAGACAATTTTTCCTCAATCTTCAGTGCAACATCTGACATACACAGCAGCCAATTAACAAGGTGTAATTATTTTAAGTTGAATTGAGATAGTAAAACCATGTCACGATTCAGGAGTTTGTGCTGGAAGCCTTACCACTGTCTTTAGGATGTGCAGGTGGACCTTGCTTGGGGTTATCTACACACAAAAGAGAGATTTAGAAAAAAAAAGAAAAAGGTTAAGAGATCAAAAGCAGACTACAATACAGTAACTTTGAAAGGGACCAGGAAAGATTAACAAATACTTTTCTACTGTTCAGAAATTCCTGTTAGGTCAGTCTTACCAGTGTCTCTGGGATTTGCAGGTGGACCTGGCTTGGGGTCATCTGTAGACAAATAAGAACAAAGTGACCAAAGTTACTAGTGTGAAAAGAGCAAAAGCAGAGCATATAGTGACCTTGAAAGACTATCTCCCCCGTGTCATTTTCCTTTCCTTTCATTAGCTAATGCTGTATTTGTTTGGTTATTTTAGGTTAAACACTGTACTTTAATGCAGTTAACACTGTTTCTGCTACATTAGCCTGCAGACCCTTGCTATAACTGAACGTATACAGAAGAACTCACTAAGTGTTATGCAGCATTTTATTTTGCACATCTGATTTCAAACGTTGAACTTCTTTAAATTTTTCTACCAGGTACAGATTACTTGGCTGTTTCCTCTTTTAAAACTACCAGATTTTAACCAATAATAAAGGTTGGTTCCTCACTTAAAAAAAAAAAACAAAACCCAAAAAAAACCCAGGACAAGATACCCACGACAGAACTAGAAATATGGTCCCCACAACGACACTTCATTTAGCTTGCCACAAAATAGGAGAATAAGAGATCTTAGTGATTATCTCCGTACTGTTTGGTCACAGTCTTTGTTGCCCAAAGTAACACACCAGCAGTGGTTTTCTAAAACTGTGTTTTCACCAACAGCTGAACCATTCCAGTGATCCATTTCTTCTGTACGCTACTTCTCCTTGAGGTTGCATGGTCTTGCCTCCTCCAAGCTCTACCACAAGTCAGATCAGGTCTCCTTAGGCTCTCTGTATATTCAAAGCAAAGAGGCAGGCACCTCCAGAGCACAGTTCTAAGACCCCAACTTAGGCTTGCCATCCTATAAACTATGCTCTCTCTTCACTTACCTGAACCATCTGATTCATTCAGCCAACTGTTTCTCTATTAGCCAACTCTGATTTCAAAAATATCAGCAGTTGGAAACAGACTGCTTTAAGAGAGACAAAACTTCAAAGGGCTAAATCAAACAGAGCAGCAAACAGTGCTAGTGTCCTACAACTGTATGTCCTGTGCTAGGAAAGCCATCTATACTGCAACAGGTCTAGTGATGGTACTCGAAAAGCTACTGTGCATTATCTGCCTAACTGGATGCACCTTTTACTGGCCGAGTGAAAACAATACTGCAAATTCTACTGCTGCCCACACTGCAGAGCTGAAGCACATTAGAAAGAGTACCTTCCCTCATATTATTTCAAACAGATTAGTGTTTCCTTGTGCTACTAAAATTACTTCCTGGAAAAGAAGAGATTACTTCAGATTTAAAAACTACTTCCATAAGTAATAGTTTATGGAATTAGTGCCATCTAGTGAAGACACAGCAATGAAACAAGTAGGACTTGGCTAAGAAATGAGTGAAATACATACAGTTTTTGTGATCCAGACCCTTAAAAATGAAGGTAAATAAACATAACTAGACTGCAATTATTTTTATCTGCAGTCTGTTACCTTAATCAACTCAGTGCCCTTATTACATTTAGGTAATAAAGGATGGATAGACATTGCACCAAGTACCACTGAGCAGTATCCAGGAAAACATGATACTTACCAGGCTGAAGAGCATGTTCCAAGCTGAAATCATCTACGAAGAAGGAAGGGAAGTTTTAAATGTAATGCAAAAACTGAACTAGTTTTAGACTACTTTTACACAAAATGCACCTCGCAATGTTTTCACCAAGAATATAGTGGCATGCTCATTCAACAGTGGCCTTCAGAAGAGCACCACAGAGTTACCAGGCATTATCTGCCAAACTACATGCTGCTTTTGGTGATCACGGTACATGCCAAGGGCCAGCTCAAGCTGAGCAAGCTCAAAACATGCAGATTGAAAGCCAACAGAAGGGATTCTCACAGGGTCTTTAAGCTTGTGAAATCACAAAGTAAATTTGTGAAAGCACTAGCAGAAGACTCCAAAATGCAGAAATCCTGTTGCTATTAGGGAACTGCTTTCTTTTATAGAAATATCACAACTCTGTGTACTACTAAATTAAAAAATTCAGGCTCTCTAATTAGTATGTACAACTACACTTGACTTCACAGTAAAAGGCATTACAAGCCAATTAGATCTCACCGAAATCTGATGGTGTTGGCTTCTGAGGTGGAAGAGGCTGCTTTTCATTTCCTGTCAGGGATGGTTAGAAAAAAAAAGTTTAAATACTATTTAATACACTGTTCAGAAGATATATGAAGGACAAATGTAAGCCTATGTCTATACAATGAAAAGCACAAGATCAAATCTATACAGCAAGACATTTTCCCCTGACGAGGAATCCCTGAGTGTTCCCAAAGACAAATTTCAGTTCCATGCGGCCAACATTTTCACAATACCCATAGCTGAATTGTTCCACTGAGGTTTACACAAACCATATGTGGCGAAGGTGTCACGCTTGGTCATGCAGTGATACTCGGAAACAAACAAGTCAAATAAGCAGCTGCTACTTTCCCACCTACCTCCCAAAATTTGTAAGAGTGTAATAATTACCCAATGCATCTTCTAAGTTGAAGTCATCAAAATTGCCTGTAGAAGATGAAAGCAACAGTAAGAACATTGTTTTTTCTTACTCAAAACCAACACTTATTACAATCATAAACATGTCTTTGATCTATCTTGAGGTATGTTTTCTGCTTCCTGCGTCAGATTAGAAGAATATTTTGAGTCAGGACTGAAGATAGACATTCTTCTCTATTTCTCCAGACCACTATCCACACATGTCGTTGGGAAAAAAAAGGAACAGCACTAAAAATTGTCTCTATAGAAAGAATACGGAGGGCCAGAACATATATTCCTACAGTCAATATAATGTACTTAATCCTTTATTCTTGCCACGGCTATTGCATGCTTTCTTAGTGCCATCCACAGCATATTCTTTCCAGGCCTTCTTCCCGCTGAACCACAAAATGAGCAGGGGCACAGCCCCAACTCACAAGAATTTACAAGATTCAAGTGTGAAGAAGAGCCTTGGAGCACAAAGGCTGGCATGAAACTTATATGATCGGGTAATGTATTTAACACCTTGGCATTAAAAATTAATTTTCATGGGTTTGTAAGACTTATCTTTTCCCCTAACAAAGGTTAACAGTCTGAAGGTCGTTAAGTTATTAGCACAGATGATCCTCAGCAGTCTCTTCAACTTCCTAAAAGACAGTTAAATGCAACTGTCACTACTATAGGCTCTCCAATCCAGGTATATTAAGTTTCATTTTCAGCCCTTAGGAAAAGAACATTCTCTCTTGCTGTATTAGGTCAGTTGCTAGAGCTACTGCTTACCCAGCCAACTGCAAACACACTAACTCAATATATTCATGATCCAAACTGTTTTCACAGCATGAATATAGTAGTGTGATCTCAGCAGCAGAGGCTTGTAAGATAAATGGACAGCTAAAACAACTGCTTGGGATATTTCTGATAGTTCATCTTTCCTACTTTCACTGAAGCCTGGAAAAAGTAAAAAGCATTAAAATAGACCAGCTATTCAAGCAAAATACATCCAAATATACTGCTCCATCCCCAAAGAAGCTGGAAGCTAAAATGAGCAGTTGCTAAGACCCAAATCTCAGTTACCTCTGAAAGTACCCCTTTGTTTAGACTACACCAAGAAACCTCCACATTAACAGGCAAAAAAAGTCAAAACACTCAAGAGAAATTTAAACAGGTATTTGCATAATTGTTCCTCAAACTTGAATTCTGGTTTGTTTGTTTTCTCAAGTACATACATCTCAGGCTACAGTCCTCCAGGGAGGGAAGCCTAAGACAGGAGCTGATCAAATATTTTCTAGTCTAACTCTAAGAAGGCAGGCAGAAGGATCTGTTGAAGATGCATACTCCTCAAAACATTCTACCAGACTAGGAATCAGAGGATGGACCACCACCATCTTTTAACACCATCAGTGTTAACACCACTGTGTTAACTACCAGTTAACACCATCAATGAATGTTACATTGGTGGGTATATTTCAAGAGCACTATTTCTTTTTAGAAGGAGCGGCAGACGGAAAAACAAGCACATATACTCAACATTATGCTTTGATGCATCTGAAGGTTTACCTGGAGCAGAAAAGAGGTTATTTGAAGAGTCTCCCACTGCCACCATGAAACTTAGTCTGAGAACTCTGAACGGTTACAGCTGCAGTGGTTTCCCTCGAGGAGGAAACCAGTGTAAAAGAGTGTGCATTCAGTGACACTGCTATTTTAAGGGATTGTTTTTACACATGATTTTCACGGAGAAATAATTTAGGATGAGACTGCTGACTGCCAATCTCACATAAGACATGCTTTGAGAGACCAATAAACAAATTTGAGAGTTAATAAAAGAAAAAAATTATTCTATATTGACTGGAATTATTCAATATTCTGCAACCACAATTCTGTTTTCCAAGCATGCAGCAAGATGTCAGGCTCTTCAAACACATTGCTTTATCTCAATAATGGTAGCAGAAAATGTCAAAACCTAGCTTATGAAACTCATTACAATAATCTGCACTCTGAAGTGCTGGCAGTCTGCTTTCCCAGGAGAGACTGGGTGTTTCTCCACTGTTCATGACAAACCTTCATATGTCTTTAAAGCACTTGCTTTTACAACTGTACTCACTCAGCTTTTAGTATGCGTGGATCCAACTAAACTAGAAGTTCAATTACTTAGCCTGAAAGGAGAGAGACTCAGAACCAGGGATTCAACTGGTTCCAGGGAAGAAACAATCAGACCACAGAGATAAAGCTACAGAACTAGAATAAAGGTAGTAGCAGGATCCAAGAAGAAAAAGTCAGCAAGAATATGCTGCGTTCCCTACAGGTTTAAGGAGCACCGAGAGTAACCGAGCTTATGAGCATTTTCTTAGTCTAAGCAAAGATAACTGCAAATAAAGCAGATATATTGTATATAAAGCACAATACAGCAGGTATTTCTAGCTCCTAGGGGCATAAGCAGATTCAAGAACACTTCAGAAGTGACCACACTATTTTCCTTCCATGTCCGTAGCTCAAATACCAGGATCTCAAGAGACAGGTCTTCAGCAGGCTATGCTGAATAGTAACCTGCATAGTTTGTGTCAGGTGAGGGAAAAACAGCAGGTAAAACAAAAGAGCAAACATAAGCTTTTGAAAAGCTGATGAGCTAGAGGGTATTCAAGAGAGCCAAGTAACTATACAAATAGGAGTCCTTTGCAAAGACCCATCACTGCTCTCAGATACTTACTGCTACAGTATTAGATTAGTCATATTTACATTCCACTGCAGAAGCTGACACAAGCTTTGGAAAGTTCCTCCATTAGTCACGTGTATGGCGACACACCAAGAAAGGCGACTTATGATGAATCACCACAAATGTAACTTTCTGACTTGAGCAACAGACTGCTTGAATCTTGTTTTTCTAAAAATGCTGGTGCTCTCTCCCTTCCCTCCCTCCTTCCCCAGCGCCCTGGGCATCACAGGGTGCCACATGCTGCAGCTGGTCTTCCAGTTGTAGACCTACGGACCAGGTGACAGCGGTCAGCTTCTCCCTGTCCCATCGCTGGACCTTACCTGTCACTCTGTCAGGGGCCGACTAACTTACAATCATAGAATATCTTGAGTTGGAAGGGACCCATAAGGATCATCAAGTCCAACTCCCTGCTCCTCGCAGGACTAACTAAAACTAAACCATATGACTAAAAGCATCATCCAGACGCTCCTTGAACTCTGACAGGCTTGGTGCCATGACCACTTCCCTGGGGAGCCTGTTCCAGTGACTGACCACCCTTCTCAGTGAAGAACCTTTTCCTAATGTCCAGTCTGAACTTCCCCTGACGCAGCTTCATTCCATTTCCTCATGTCCTATCGCTGGTCACCAGAGAGGAGATCAGCACCTCCCGCTCTGCTGCCCCTCTTGAGGAAGCTGTAGACGGCTATGAGGGCACCCCTCAGCCTTCTCTTCTCCAAGCTGAACAAACCAAGTGACCTCAGCCGCTCCTCATAAGTCTTGCCCTTGAGGCCTTTCACCATCTTGGTCGCCCTCCTCTGGACACACTCTAATAGTTTCATAGAATCACAGAATCACAATTTAGGTTGTAAAAGACCCTTCAGATCATCAAGTCCAACCATTTGATGTCCTTATACCGAGGTGCCCAAAACTGCACACGATACTCGAGGTGGAGCCGCACCAGCGCAGTGTAGAGTGGGACAATCACCTCCCTCGACCGGCTAGCTATGCTGTGCTTGATGCACCCCAGGACACGGTTGGCCCTTTTGGCTGCCAGGGCACACTGTTGATTCATGTTCAACTTGCCATCAACCCAAACCCCCAGATCTCTTTCCGCGGGGCTGCTCTCCAGGCTCTTGTCCCCCAGTTTGTATGTATAACTAGGATTATCCCATCCCCGGTGCAGAATCTGGCACTTGGTCTTGTTAAATTTCATATGGTTGGTGATTGCCCAATTTGGGTCTGTCCTGCTGCCTAGCCATTCATTTTCATGAAATCTGCAAAAACCTTGAGCTCAAAGAGGCCTCTCATCCCTGTAGAGTTTACACAAGGTTTGACAGTCCTCTTGGGGGACGAGGACGTTGGTAGCCACACAGGCATAAACTCTTGGGAAAGCAGGTGAAAAGCAGCTTCTCCAACTTCCAGCAGGGCAACTGGATTTTACACTCCCATGTCTTGTGCTCCTTACCCTTGGGGGACTGAAAACATGAGGAGTAGAAATATTCATCACGTAACCATAGCAGAAGCTACAGAAAATACAGGAGGGCCAACACATTGAAACTTGTTCATTAAACACTTTAAATAACAGAGCAAAGCCATCACATCCCTTACAATTGCTTTTTAAGCTTACCAGCACTTGATTCCAATCCAGGTTTTGCCCCACCAGCATTAGTTATCTACAATAAAATGTACTGCTCAGCTCACATATTGACAGTTATTTTCCAACACGTCCTAAGCAGGCAAAACCAAGAGGAGCAATTTAATCACAAAAAAAATGGGAGAAAGGTGACTTGGTTCTCCATACCTTGCTGTAAGAACTGCCTTTCTAAGGTTTTAAATGGAGAATCTGGAACATGAAAACCACTCGCTGCAGGTGGAAGAACGTACTTAAAACTGTACTCCTCTTCTCAGCCAGCGCAGAGGTTTGCAGGCAAGATCCCTCCGCGTCAGGCAACGCAGATGGGATGTTTACTCCCACTGCCAAGCAGCAGTTTATAATTAGCCCTGCCTGGAGTCTCATGAAATTAAATCCCACGCAGTTGGTTTCAAACCCTGTTCTTCCTACAAGTACCCACCTATCGATGCTGCTTTTCAAGTTTAGTTTCTCTGCAGAGCAAGAGAAAACAAAAAGCCTTGCATAAAGTTCTGTTTAGAAGAATGAAGCCCCCTCCTACCTAAAATAAATATGGCCCAAACACAAATAACAACTGTAAATCAGCCAAAAAACAAAGATAATTTTTTACATCTGGGGAGTGTCTGCTCTCTGCACATCTGCAGTGTTCATTAATGTATCTGACAGGACTAGAGTCAGCTAAGCCTCCGCTGCAACCAATAAAAAGATTTA